CCCCACCCCCCCAACCCCCCAGCAGAAATTGTGCTCCACCGCACGGCCCCGTACGGGCGCCGTCTCCTTAAACTAGAACCCAGTATACCCCCTACTAGGGCATGAAACCCTGAGCCGTACAGGCTTCCTTCTACCCTGAACTGACTGTAGGATTGCCATCTTCCTGCCACCTCAAGCTGAAACATTTGCAGTTTAATCATTGGTGTCCCAATACAGATCCGCCCAAATCCTAACGGCCCTAAAGCTTAAGGCCTTAAGTGCTAAACTCGACAAGAACACCCTACAATACCCTGCGATCCCTTCAACCTTCTCTTTAATCCTTTAGTCCTTGAGCCTCCAGCTCCAAAACCCTAAACCGTAAACCCCTAAACCCCAAACCCCAAACCCTGAAGCCCTAAACCCCTAAACCCAAAGCCTCCAAACTCCTCAACCCCTAAGCCCCAAACCCTAATCCCTGAAGCCCTGAAGCCCTCAAGCCCTCGAGCCTCGGAGTTCCCAGGGCAAAGCAGATCAGAGCCATCAGCATCGCCCCCGCTGCGATGCAGTAAGACTTGAAGTAGCCTTCAGTTTAAGTACTGCCCTCCCCCCCCCATACAGTGACAGTCTATAAGAAGCTTATGATTAGGGGCCTCCTTATATGGCTTTGTTATAGGTATTGAAATGTGTTACTGAGTGGGGGCAGTATCCAACCTGGAGTCGTAAGCAGGGGCCTTTAGCCTCGAAGAGGGTTGGGGAGTATACATTTTACGATATTCCTACCACGGTTTAGGGTTTAGGGTCCAGGGTTTAGGGTTCGAACCCCACAAGAGTTTTGGCAAGTATTGCGGCCCCTGGTATCAATGGAGGGTCCGAGGGCTGGCCTTACAGAGTGCGGTTCAGGGCTCAGGGCTCAGCATTCGAAGACTTTGGGCTTTATGGCAGTTTTGCAATTAGGAGATTCCTACTTGTCCAAGATCATGGGGAACTAGAGGTTAACCTTGGGGATTATGTAGGGGTTATCGTACCCGAAAACGGTTAAAGGTTACCTACTCTACTCCGAGTGAGTATCGAAGGCGTTACTTGGAGGTTCATGTAGGGTTATAAGTCCCCTAATATGGGTTATAAGTATAGTTATCCTACTTATAACCTTACTTATAACTACCCATGAACCTCCAAGTAGACCTACCAATACTTCTTGCTTGTGGTCACGCCAGTCCACATGACAGCAGCGGTAATTGTCCGTTGGTTTGCCCGCATGCCTTTCCTCAGATTTGCGATCTTAAGGCCTCGTCTGCGTGCTGCCCTGTCCCGTGTTTCCTTGCTGAAGTTCCCTTACTTGGAGGTTCATGGGTAGTTGTAAATAAGGTTATAAGTAGGATAACTGTACTTATAACCCATATTAGGGGGCTTATAACCCTACTTATAACTACCCATGAACCTCCAAGTAGAGCCCATGAGCGGCCCCAGTCGGTCAAACTTACCCTAAACCCCCCAGGTGCCTACTATCTAGGGTACTAGAGCCCCTAGGGCCCTATATAGTAGGTACCTGGGGAGTTGTTGCTTATGCTCGCTTGAAAAAGGCTGCGAGTATCTGTCTGGTGCTTCGTAGGGAAGGGGGAATGGATCCCTACGATAGTCCCTTAAGGTCCCCTTGTCGTAGCCCCTATAACCCATTCCCCCATTCCCTACAAAGCACCAGACAGTTATCCGGCTTCGAGAGCCGTTCTCTGCGATGCGCCGGCTAAGCTTCCCTGGGGTGGCTGCCTGCGCCCTAGATCCGGATTCCTCGCAGCCTCAATGCTCCAATCCCAAACTCCTAGGGCTCCGACCCTTGAAACCTTCTCCGCTAGTGGAAATGCCCTGAAGAGCTCACACGAAAAAAGGGAGCTTCAGAACATAGAGCGCTGAGCACCCGAGTCTGTAGCAGGCTTTTGAACACGTGCAAGCCCTTCCCACCCCAACCAACCCCAAACCCGAAAGCCTAATCTTAATATAGGGGCCTGAATAATAGGAATAGGGTTTTGGGGTATATTATACTATACCTATAATAAGGAACCCCCAAAAATAACACAAGTAATTATTTAGGCCCCTAATCCTAAACCACCTCCCCTGTCCGGAGTTGCTCTATTTGCGCCGACATGCCGGTTCCAGCACTCGCCGTGCTGCTGCCGCTCGTTGCCAAGTTAACCTTGGGTTCTTAAGATTACGGGTTCGATCGGTCACTCTTTCTGTGAAGCCACCGGTTGGTAAATGAATTTAGGATTTGTTGACAAAGAGGGCTTAATAATGGGCCCCCCCCCTCCCTCCCTCTCCCTCCATACCTCCCTCTCCCCCTCCCCTATCAAGTCCTAGACATCATCTCCACAGCACTTTTCGACACACCGGAAACAGCCAACCCCTGTGCCAGCGTACGGGCTTGGATAGGCTTGTGGGATCTTGGGGTTTAAGATCGTGCACGCTTATCTTCGACGCTACGCGGTGCTGCTGTTGTTGTTGTTGTTGCTGCTGCTGGTAGTGGTGGCAATGGTGTTGCTTCCTGCATTGAGCTTCCCTGCTCAGGCAAAAGCCAACAGTCAAAGCAGACAGTGCCTTCCGTACAGGGAGCCCTGCTCTGCAACGCTTCGCAGAGTCTCAGAATTCGAGGCTGTTGGAGGTTGAGCAGGATCAGGCACTGCTGGGTTCTTGCAGACCCGACTGCAAAACCCCCAAGCCCAAGCCTTCAATGAGGAGCCAACATTCCAAGTTGAGAGTTCAAGCATCAGTGTTGAGGTTCAGGCCAGCTAGTTCCTCGTGAGTAACTGCTGCCCGGCGTGGGCGAGAAGAGGTGGCGTAATTTTCCCATGGGGTGGTGCAGGAGTGGTGCTCTGTCGGCAATGCGGCTACTTATGGAAAATTTAGAACTCATTGGACCCGAACAGAGTAAACCGCACATCGCAGGATGATACGGGCCCGCAGTGCTCCCCCTAAGTAATAATAATGAAAGTGCCTCAATCACAGCGTAGAACGACTCGGTATTGCCGAGGGTCCGTGAAACCCATGGCAAAGACGACACCTGCTTCTGCCAGACTTTGCTTGAGTTTCCAATACCCTGGTAGAGTCTTCCTGGAGAATTCACCGGAGCTCCCAAGACCAAAAGACTGGAATCCCAGATAGTATAGGGGCCTCAATAGTTGCCAATACTTATTTTTTTTTGGAGGGGGGAGGGTTGAACGAAAGCTCTGGAGCAAGTGGAGGCAGCTCTAATGTAGGGAGCAGTCTGTGGGGCGTGGCCTGCATCGTTTCACCATTTACGCTGCCGGGCGCTTGAGGCATGAGAGGGTGAATCCGATTGCTCGGATATCTAAGGGACCTGAAGAATTAGACTACGCTCGCTTTGGGGGTGTGAGAACAACCGTACGCCCGAAAACCCCAAGCCTTAGTTGATCCAATCCTTCACTTGCTTCCGGGAGCCGACATCGATCATTCAAGAGGACCCCGAAGAAAAGCAGAGACTGAAGATCCCCCTCCAGAGCCTCGTAGTGGTCTGCATGTGTGAGTACTATACTGGTTACTGTAGCAATGGTTCCAAGGCTGAGGGCATATTAACATGAACAATGCCTACATGTGTATAGGTATGTACGCATATGCGCCGTAGTTGTGTTCGTGTCCCCACAGGTGGCCGACCCTTGTTTACAAGCCACGCCAAGCCAAACCAAGCCAGACCGATGTTGAAATCAGAACTTTGAACCTTGTCGAAAAAACGAACCAATCTGACAGAGCGGCTTGCGCAACAGAGGCACCCGTGTAACAGAATATTCGATGTCAAGGTACAGATACGGATTTGAATGAAATTATACATGTATGCAGTATGCATGTCTATCTATCTGGCTGTCTGTCTGTGTACCTATCTGTGTATCTATCTATCTGTTTATCTAAATCTAAATATCATACGGAACCCCAAGGAAAACACGAATACTGGTACGTAACTATTTAGTACGAAGGCTCCGATGTGGGTCTGCTTTTTATGGGAAAGGTTGAAGTCTTCAGGACTCACGATTGGGCTCAGGGTTAATGTAGGGGCTTTGGGGTACATTATACTATACTTATAATTAAGACACCCCCCCGTGTGTGAGCAAAACCGCGTCTATTTGGAGGCTGCCTATTGGGTATTCAATAGGGTAAACGTACACAGCGTCCCGATTATGCAACGAACAAGGCATCTGCCAAATAGACCCGGTCAGCCTTGTTTCAAACAGATAGCACTCCAAACCAAAAAAGCTTTTTTTTTGATTAATTTTTTCTTTCAAAAATGAAACAATTGAGAAAATCAAAAAAAAACAAAAATCCAGCGGCTACCTCGGAAAGGGCCAAGGGCTCCAGGCCTGCAGGAGGTCCACGGGCTCCAGAGCCTCCAGGCCTGCAGGAGGGAGGGCCAAGGGCTCCAGGCCTGCAGGAGGGAGCACCCCGGCCAAGAGTCTCAGATTTTTTTGCTCTTGTTTTTTTTTTCAAAAAGCCAAAACAAATCAATTTCAAGAAGGCAAAAAATCAAAAAAATGCAAAAAAATACAAAATAACAAAAGTCAAAAAAATCCTGCGGCTCCCGCGGA